CCTATTTCTCAAGCCCTCGGGTTTCCATGCTGAGGAGGGGATCGTGCGAGAGTAAAGCTTATCTTTCCTGTCCTATCTTTTCCACAAGAGGAGACACTCAAAGTTGGTCCTGTGGTCAGTGCCTGTTCCCTCAGATAATTCAGGTCCCAACAACAGCAGTGCTGGCCCCCTCTAAAGCTTTGCACCACACCCAGGAACATCTCTGCCTGAAGAATGTTAGAGTAACAGAAGCAACTGTTTACAAGAAGGGATTGTTTTAAAAGAGGACATAAAGCAGTCCCTGTATGTGTTCAGCTCAGTATGTGTCCGCCAAGTGTGGGGAAATTTCCAGACACATAAAATACTGCAGAAAGGAAAAATCAAAAATCCAAAAAACAAACTATAGATATTTTACTTGCCAGCAGATGGCAGTAGAGTCTAGTAATTTAAAGAACAGACGCTTCAGCAAGTCACCTATTTTTTTTTTTTTCTTTTAAGTTTGAAACCTAAACCCTCAAGACCAGGAGAGGGGACTGCTTTATATCCAGACACAGATGAGCAGAACAAGTCAATTACTAAAAGGCAAAAATCAAGATTTAACAACAACAACATCTTTCTCTATTGACCGCAGTAAACTCTTGCTCAGCAGAGTGTGGTCTCTGGGCAGCAGCGACGGCGCAGCCAGGGAGCTTGTTAGAAAAGCAGGACCTCAGGGCCACCCCTGAATCAGAATCTGCATTTTAACACGATCCCCAGGGGATTCTTACACACATTAAAGTTTAAGAACGAAAGTCCATGATTCTCAACACGGGCTACACAAGAAAATCACCAAGGAGCTTAGACCAGTCAAGGGGGCCTATCCTCGCGGGCTCTCGGTGTGAGTGGGGCAGACATCGCTGTACAAGCTGCCAGGGTCATCCTGATACGCAGCGAAGGTTAGGAACCACTTCTAACCTAAGAGATGAGGCTCCTTAAAGATAGTAAGGATGAGCTAAGATGCTATTTTTCAAACAGGAAGATAAACTTCCATCTCAAATAAATTCTCACCCACTGTGCTCCTCACACAAGAGCCAGGTCAGCTCAGGGACCCTGAAATGGCTCCGATGACACTTTCCTCAATGTTACTGGAATCATCCGAGATGTCTGCTAACCGCTGGCGTTCCTGGGCCACCCCCCAGACCTGCTGCCATCAGATTTTACGGGGTAGAGCATTTCTAACAAGTTTTCTTTACACAAAAATTTAATTTGGAAGTCACTGGACTAGAAGAAGGGAGTAAGAGTCACAAATTCAAATAGAATTTAACCGAGTGAACACTAACGTTGGGCTGATATTTCCTGAATGTTCCTGAAACTGAAAATTTCCAGATAAGAATTCTGATAAGCAGGATTTCAAAGGCTCTCATGACTGAGGACGTCAAATAAATACAGAGGTCATGTTACTCGTCTCAGCTTGTCTGTAAGGTAAATAAAAGTGAATGGGCTCCCTTCCCAAAAAAGAACATCACACCGTGTAAGGTTTGAGCACAGAATGCTCCAGGAGGAACTCCAGGTGAGAAGGGGTATGTCTCTTCCGCTGTCTCCCCATCCTGGGGGTCACCTGCCTTGTTTCCACTGCCACCCTCTGTTCTGCTCTGCCTCTTTGTCTCAACTATGGCTCATCTGGGTCAGAGAGAAAAAAGAAGGGGGGCAACAGATGGAGCAAATGAGACTCGGGAGCGGAGGAATGAGAAACTCCCTCTGATCCCGTTCTGCCAAATGGAATGGGTGGCTCCATCCTCTGACCCTGCATCGTCCTGCTGCAGGTACCTCATCACCTGCCATATTAAGGGCAGGTTACAGCCACACTCAGGAAAGGACACAGGAGTCAGGTCACCCCTGACGTTGACTCTGCCCGGCTCGCCACCATCAGGCACTCAAAGCTGTCCCATCCTAAGACTGAAGAAGGAACCGTAAATACATTAAGCAGCTGGAGGTCCATTTGAATGATTCTAATTGGACGTAGCTGTTTGGATTCCTTTATAGCTTTCCCAACATTTCACATCATACTTGTATTTATTAGGCTTAGGAAAGAACTGTACGATATAGAGGAGCTATATAGAAATTTAAAGCTACGTAATATTCATTTTGATTTGGTTAGTCATACTTCAAGAATCCTAGATACTCTAGAGGTAACATCATTAGGGCGATGTGTTCACAAGCCAAAGTGCATAAAGTGACAGCAAACTCACTAAGCCTTTTGTTTCTAATCACTGGCTATTTTAAAACTCTGAACCCTCACTGTGACCTCAAATTCCTCAAACACATTTCAACCTCTTTCTCAAAGTAATTCTTCCCTTTCCCGAAAATCTACCAATAACAAGGCCACTTTCCAGATAATCTGTTGGAAGATCTTGATGCTTTACTTCCCTCTGCGTATCCCATTCATCCACCTGCCTATCTATCCATCCATCCATGCATCCACCCATCAGTCCACGTGTCCAGCCATCAGTCCATCTGTCCACCCACCCACTCCATCGATCTATCCCTCTACCTGATTTATGCCTAAGTGAATAGCCTCCTGACTTACACATGTTCTCCATGTTTCCATCATGTTATTCCTTTGGTTAAAATATACTTTTCAAAACTAAAATATTTTGAATGGCAAAAAACTCGAACTTTCATTGTATCCAAATCCTCAGCTAAGTTTTAAGACACTGCTCCATAAATTCATTCCAATCTTTATTCACATTTCTAATCACTTAATCTCCAAGCCTGACTCACCATATTGTGCTCAAAATGAATCCTTTTCATCACAACAGCCCTTCTTCTACACATCTGCTTATTAAACAATCATGCGCCCACCACTCTATGCTGTGAACTAGAACTCACAGGCTCAGAGGTGCAGCCCCTAGAATTATGGAGCCTGTATCTTCGCAGTACAGATGCATATAAAGCACGTACGTCACAAATCACACAATATGGGTGTGTGCTAAGGACTATGGGAGCATAGTGGACAGGGCAATTAATTTTGAGCAATAGCTCAGAAAAGTGCTACTGAGCATTAAAGGATGGACAGGAATTTGACACAATAGAGAGAAGAAAGAGGGCATGACTCCAGCTTTCTCTCCTCCACATAACTGAGTGATGTCCATCTCCAGTTTCAGCCACTTCCATGACACCATTTCCTTATCACTCCCAAGTCACCTCTGAAATGCCACTGCACTTGCAGTCTGATCCACTCAATTTAACACTCACATAAAGTTAATGTTGCTTGAATTCTTTTTCCCATTTGCCCCTTTTGTATCATTAACAAACAAGACATCCTTAGGAAATTCACTTAAGCTTCCTTGAGCTGTTCTGTAGTTAGTGAAATAAAAAACATTAGACCATCTCTGAAGTCCCTGTCTTTAAAAATTTATACAGAGATTGGAACAGGAACAGGCTGTATCTTAACTGAACCAGCCCCTCCTCAAAGGCAGAGATCACCTGCAATTTTCTAAATGCCCTAGTAGAAAAGCTTATAATGATTTAAGAAATGCGTTTTATATAGACTGTAATGATAAAACATATCTGACATCAATTAGCTCAGGTGGCCAAAATCATGGAGTCAACTACATTAGCTGTGCTCTGTTCCATGGTCTCCAACCCTAGTTAGGCTAACGTTTGAGACCAGACCTAGAGGGTGGGTAAGATTCAGGGCAAACTGAACCTCACTCCTAAGAACCGCCTCTGCAGCTCCTCCTGCCGGGCCAGTCTCAGGATCACCGTGATTACAACACCAAGGTCACCATTCAGCAACTCACAAGAGCAGGATGATGAAGTAGGTTATTTTTCTGCTTACGACACATTCCTTTCCCTGTTCTCTACAATGTTAATAGAGACTTTTAACACAAATTATGAAGAATTTTGAAGGAAGGAAGGAAAGGAGGGATAATATTTTCTTTAAATTACAAGCTCTCATAAGAGAAGCTTTACTATAATATGTTCTGGAAAATGCCCATTATCTTTATAATAAGAACATCGTCTTGGACTATTGGGCCAACCTGAATTATATGACTCCCCTGCTCACATGGGGTGACTAAAGAGTTTTAAAGTTGTTTAGCATGACACTTCAGGAAATCTTGCCTCAAAATGTAAAATGGGCACTTAACTTAATGGACACAGGAAATACTTTATCATCCAATTTCACATGAAAGTTACAGAAGATCAAAGCTCAAAGAGAACTGATAAAAGTCTGAGAGTGAGAAGAGAATTAGATGAGGAGACAAAGACCTGGATTCTAGAGTAATTTTTTTTTTTTTGGTGAGGGGAGGTAATTATGTTTTTTTAATGTATTTTTAAAATTAATTTTTAATTTTGTTTTATTTTCTAGTGGAGGTGCTGGGGATTGAACCCAGGACCTTGTACATGCTGAGCAAGCGCTCTACCGCTGAGCTATGCCCTCCCTCTAGAGCTATGAACTTTAGACATGTCATTACATTTAACTTCTCTAAGTCCATTTCCTTATCTTCAAATGGGGTTGATACTAATCATGCTATCAAATTTGGGCGAAGACCAAATGAAATCTGTGGAAGGTGATACAGTTTTAACAGCCCTGGTGGTGTCTGTGGTTCACGATTATCATGCATAATAAATCACTGTTCTCACTTTCCTCTCAAGATGCGGGAAAAGTAGTTGAGTCCAAATTACAATAGAAAGAAAGATAAGTTCATTAAAGGCTTCCTGACTCTAGGAGTTGACAAACCTCAAATATATTCACTAAGAGAGATTGTAGAATGACTTTTCTTGAAACTCTGTGAGGAAAATGTTAGCAGTTAGGTTTCTGAGCACCTCTGGTACAGCCTGGCGTGGACGGGGAGGGACAAATCATGGAACCTCTGGGTTTCGCGCTGCCTGCCATGGGTAAAGCTGTCTCCCACTGGACAAACTGGTGGTCTTCCAGTGCTTGGGGCCCTAGGTGGTGCTGTTTCAACTGGTGTTGGGAATTGTGCTTTCAAGAAAGTATTGAAGCTTCCAGGTGAAGCTCGAGAGAAATGACTCACCTGGTTGCCTCCACTCTTGGGGTTCACAAACACAAGCAAGGGCTTCATGAGTGGAGAAGAGATGGGTTTTATCACAAAAGGACGACCTTTGTTTTCCTGCTGAAGGAAGAAAGCAACAATATTGATATACATCTGTGACCTGAAAGGCAGGCCCAAAGCAATGAAAGTGAGAAGTTACCAGCAGCCCCCCACCCCTTCCAAAATAAAAAAAAAAACAGTCAAAAACACCTGCATCTGGTTTCAAAGGACTTACTCTCAATAGCACATCCTACATGGAACTTAGAGAAAAGTATCTCCACCAATAATTTGCCCCCAAGAATTAAGCCGTGCTTTTGATTTTCTTCTTCATACTCTAAGTGTTCTAGAAACATTCACTTTTATCTTCATCATCTTTGGGATGAAACTTCCACAGACAATTGCCAATGCTCTGACTCTGAACTGGTAAGAGGTTATATGTATACAAGACACAGGCAGAATTCCAGTGTGGCTAGAGTGTGGTGAAGGAAGGAGTGGTAGGAGGTATGAATCAGAAAAAGAACCTTGGCCAGACCGTGTCAGACCGAGGAGGCTACAGAAAGAGGGATGCACTGCGTTGGACCATAATCCTCAAACACTTACTTCGGCTCCTCTTTTGCTGGCTTTTCTTTTAAAGCTTGTTCTCTTCTTCTTGCGGTTTGAAGCCTTCAGAGAGTTCTGTAGGGAAGGAAGGAAACACCTGAGTTCGGGGGCAGACGGCCCGCGCGCTCTCCCATGCAGAACCATGTAGAGGTGGACGGCGGCACATGCTGGCGACGGCATGCTCTCATGCTTTGACACTTCCAAGCCACTGTTCATGGGTAAGCCACAGACAGAGATCCGTCGCGTGCGTCAGAGGAGCGACCGACTCCCCACCACACGGAGAGGCAGGGAGTGAGAACCCTGGAGGCTCTCATGGACTCACATAACAACACATGTTATACCTGCCAACCCTCCCAGTAAAAATGGAAGAATCCCAAATTCTCTGAGGGGCTCCAGTCTCCCGCCCAACCAGGTCCGTCTCCCGCCCAACCAAGTTCAAGTTCATCTCCTGGTATGGAGATCACCTATGTGGAAATGTAAAAAAGGAGGCCATTTTTCACGTTTTGCTTTTTGTTTTGTTTTGTTTTCTGTTTACTTTGAGGGGGGGTGACCTGTTCATAAAATGACTCAACCCCACTGGAACTTTATGATCCAACTCTCCTGTCAGCATTCATGGCTCAGTTTTAAAGTGCAAAGACTCACCTTAAGTTACTTATAACAGTAGAAAGGCAGTCACTGCTCCTCCTTTCTCTGGCTAAAGACCCATTAATTTAAAAAGTCTTCCCTCCCCTGGTAACTTTGATTTTTTCTTCTCAGAGAAGTGTGTCCAACTTGTTGAAACAAAGTGACCAAATTTACCTTCCCTGTCTTGATCTTTCTAGGGATTTTATGGACCACACCTTTGTGACTACTTCAGCTAACAATTTACTCTTAATATTTGATACAAATGCTTTGAGAAGAACCTCTCTCAGGAGACAGCCCCATTTCACTGGTTGAAGGCAAGGCAGAACCAGACTTAATTAGTGCAGAACCAATAATTAATTAGATTGCCATCATCACAAAGGTAAGCTATTACTACCACATCATAGATGTTTTACAAAATGTTGAAATCCTGAAATACAAAATTCTTAACTTAAAAATTGATAGAAGTATATACAAATGCACTGCTTGAGCAATTAAATGTTTCCAAACAGTTTAAATATCTATTTTTCTACATTTTAGAGTATTTTTCCTTACAGCATTGAAAATAAACCTTAGTCTAGAGTCAGATATTAACACATCCAGATTAGGAAGACTGGAACTACTTAGCTTTTATTTCACTTTCATCTGGACCACGGGAAAGAAAAAATAAAAGAAATTTGTGGCCTGTGCTCACCAAGGATGAAGGAAACTTTCTTGCACCGCCATCTGCCTCAAGGTTTTCTTCCCCCATCAGATTAAAAGTCTCCAGGTTCTCTGAGTCTCACCAGAAAAGGGATCCAGAAGCTCAGGGTGTTCTGGATTCCAGGTTATTTCTCATCGCTCATTCTAGACTATGTTCCTCCAGCAAACAGATCTCCAAGTTTCTGAATTCTTCTTTCAATGAATGTACTATCATGTCCCTCTTTGGGAAACTTCTGCATTCTTCAATTATTTGCTACATTTTGACTACTTTCTGTTTTATTAAAAGGGGAGAAAAATTACTTGGAACCGTTAAGTGTTTAACCGGCCAAATGATCCAAGGAGAATGCTGTGAATGATGAGACTGGCAGAAGCAGTATCTACCTGATGGCAGTTAATGATGCTCTGAATGCTGATACCTGGGCCCCAACAAATATTCTTATTTGTTTGGGGGTGAAGCCCAGGCAAAGACACTTTTTAAAAATAAAATAAAATTAAAAAAATAAAATACAAATAAAATAAAATTAAATTAAATTAAAAAGCTCCCAAGGCAAATTCTAATGTGTAGCCAGGGCTGAGAACATCCGCTGGAAGCACAGAGGGCAGAGAGGAGACATACATGGTGTGGTAAAGCAGAACATCCAGCTGAGGAATGTGAGCTGTGGAATCAGACAGACCGAGGGTACCTTCTGACTGTCCCTGTTACTAGATCTGTGACCTTGGCCAAGTCAGTCGAACTTTCGAAATAACAGTTTCTTAATTTTAAAATGAAGGTGTTAATACCTACCTCACAGGACAGTTGTGAAGTTTAAACGAGAAAAGGTGTGTGAAGCAGTTAGCTTGGTATCCATCCCATGATAAGCACTTCCATAAATGTTAGTTGCCTCGTCCACAGCTGTGCATCCCCAGCACCTAGCACGAAGGCCTGGCACACAGTATGCACTCAAATTGTCGTTGAAAAAGATAAATCAATATTTTTATAGTTCACAACATTGCCTGAGCCTTTCCTGATCCTGAAAAGGACCTTGAGGGAGAGAGTCCTTGTTTCCTCACTTCTTTGTTGTTTTTGTTCCTTTACTGCCTGGAGCAATGCAGGACATCGAGGGCTTGCAGGAACACCCTACGGGCCTTGGTTCTTGACAGGACTCAATAATTAAACCCCAAGAGATAGTCTAATGGATCAAGCTAAGGCTGTTTCCTAAACTTGCCTGATCACAGAAATCACAGCTCTTGAGGTGATTCGATGATCAAATATGTTTGGGAAACAGGTTAGAAAACCACATCAAAATAAGGCTGGGTGTTTGAAAACAGAGCAGGCGAGGAACTCAACTCTAATAGGGAACTGACACACAAAATGGCTTTTTTTTTTCAAACACAGATACAAGTGCTTATGAGCCTCACCAAGCCAATTGCATCTGAAGCCTTCTTCATCTCACAAAACAGGAGGGGCAAAGATCAAGCACAGCGGGTGACTTACAGAACGTGGACGCTTCTATGTGAGCTCTGAGTGAGTTATGGCCCTAGGGATGGTCCAATGGCAAGAGATAAGCAGTATGGAATTTCACCGCACACCTCCAAATTCCCGACGCTTCCTTCTCTTCCTGTGTAAATATGTATCTCTGTCTCAATATAGAACTTCTTTTAGAAGGCAGCATCATTCAAGGAAGAACAGAGGGATGTGAAGGCAGATCTGGGTTTTGGCCATGACAAATCACCTAGGGCCGTGAATCTACAATATCGCTCACCCCGCCTGGTCGGTATTGTAAGAGTTAAACAAAACAACATGCTTTTCCAGAAGGTAAAAATTGTACCAAGTCATTATTGTCTAGAATTGTTGGTGATACAGTCAAGAAACCTTTAATACTTGCCCTGTGTCCTAAAACAAAGCACCCTGTTACCAGGGGCAGCGAACTCAGTGAGACAAAGGGTTCACTTTGCAAGTTCAATGCTGTTCAAACAGCGAAATGTTGTGTTCTCCTTTGGATTTTTACATTCTCCTGATTCCAACAGCGTTCACCCCTGCACGTTCTGTGCCCGCTCTTTCGTTAAAAATCCCAACAAAAGAGAAAGGCTTTTTGTTTCCTGGTACCAGGTATTGGAGCAGCTTTACCTTGCCACAGAAATAATTCCATCACCAATCTTTACCATAGTTATGGCTCCTTCCTGGGATGTTAAGAAACCCTGTGGGTGAATTACTCAACTGTGAGTGAAACCTAACTGCCTCTTACTACTCTTCAGGGATTTCCTTGGGCGATGGGCTCACAAAGGACCAGTCAAAATAACAGATCTAAAGAGAAGATCTCTCACTTCATCATCCCAATTGAAGTCTTCCCCCATCATACACTGGTCAAAACTCTGATGGATAGTAAGTGGGAGAGTCGTGGACTCTGTCTGTTAAAGAGCGTTCTCCCTCTGCCCTGCCCCAGCTGGACCACTGCAGCAAAGGTGGCTGAGAGGACAGCTAAGTAGAAGAAGAAAGAAAACTCATTCAAATATTAAGGACAGGGTCTCAGCTGCTCCTCAGGTATATTTGGCCAAATCACAGCAATTATTACTTAACCTCTAGACTTGATCAAAGGAAGTCGCTTGTGCAATTTTGAGAGAGACTGTTGGTCATTGCTATTACATGTCTTGGGGTCCCCAGCATTTTAAGATTATCCAATCATAAGAAATAAGGGCTGGCATGAAGAAAGCCCACATGAGGCTAAGCAGGAGTTGGCTGTGGCATTTTCATAAGTAGACCATTAGAAAGAATATAAATATCTATCAGTAGGGAGTTGGCTTAAATAGATTGTAAAATATCCATAGTATGGAATGTATACAGCAGTTTAAAAGGGAGTCAAATCTATATATATTAATATAGATGTTTCCCTTAAGATTTTTTTTAATTAGGAAAGCCAATATTAAAGCTGTTAAGTGTAGAATGATGTTATTTATTAAAAACACACACCTCTAGTCTTCCCCTTACAAATCTAACCCCACAAAAACTTCATCTCACCCAGGTCTTGCTCCATCAGCTCCAAGTACTTGCACTAGTATTTAAATGTCTTTTGTTTTTTGAGGGGGAGGAGGGCGGTAATTAGGTTTGTTTATTTAATTATTTTTTTAATGGACGTACCAGGGATTGAGTCTAGGACCTTGTGCATGCTAAGCATGCACTCCACCACTTGAGCTATACCCTCCCCACTAAACATCTTTAACTTGTTTATCTGGTCAAAACATTATCCTCTAACATTTTCAGTTCAGAGAAGAAACACAGACTTTAAATCTGTAACTTTAAATATAACTTTGACTTTATATCAACAGAGTCAGGCTTGGTTCCTGAAATTTGGTTTTCTTTTCCTTTTAATTCCTTTCAGTCCTCTACCTTCCATTATTTCTTAACCTCTAGGTCTCTCCAAATAACCTGGTGATGAAATCCAGCAAATCATCCAGGCAGCCCTCATTTCCCCTACCATCACAGTTTCACCCAGCTCTGTTCCCTGCTGGTCCTGAAGTAATCATCCACTCAGAACCAGCCATCTTTTAACAGAGAAGGAAAACACACAGTTTAATTCCACCTCTGTACAACCCACTTCTCCTGACCATTATACACTCAGCAGATTTCCTTTCCTCTTCTTCTCTGGAGTCGTTTAGACACAAGCATCACAAATAAAGCCAACTTTATTTGATGATCCCTCTTAACTGTTGCTCTTGGTTTGTCCTATCAACATGCACTGTCCTTTCTCATCCCTCTGTCTAGTGCCCCCCTCCATCGTTCAAGACCAAGCACAAATGACATACTTTCCATTTAGCCTAGGCTGCTCTCCGGGACTGAAGCTGTCCAATCCTGCTCCATGTTTCCATATCTTAGGTGGCTTCCCATTCTCCATCTTAGACGTGTAGGCGTCTCACTGACCAGGGCTGATTCAACCACTCTGTCTGGCCCCTTCCTCTCACCACCCTATGTCTATATAGGGTGGTGAGAGGAAGGGGCCAGATCTATCTCTTCTATAAGACGCACACTGATCAAAAAGGCAAACCTTCCTAGACATCTGAAAGCTACTGCTTTACTAAAGATTTACACGTGGCTGAAATCCTCCCCAGAATCCACACTCTGACCAATGGTTTAGATGGTTGTGTCTACCTTCCCCACTGGGGAGTATACCCTTTGTAGACATCAAATGAATATCTGATTCATCTTTGGACCTCCCATGGCATATAATAGCATCTCTAATGTGGTTAATTAAATGTTTCCTTGATTCAATTCAGACTATCTTATCATTTTTAAGCAGTGTCATAGAATACAGAAATACATAGACAATGGGGGAATAGATAGATAAAAATTCTAGAAGTTGGAAAAACATTTTATCTGTTGTTCTCAATCTACTTTCCAAACTGTTTTTTTTAACTGCTTCTCAATGTCCAACAAATTCTGTAATCTTACTGCATCCATACCATCACTAACAGGTTGCCACCCATGCTCCACTCTCTACAAACTATAGTTTTTATGGTCATAAATGATCTCATCCCAAAGACTTTTCTCAATCCTTGTTATTTTTTAATGTCCACAGAATTTAACATTGACAACTGTCCTATTTCTTTCCACTTTTAACAATGAAACTTTACGCCATCATAGTTCACTGTCTTACAGGATTCTCTTCCTCCTTCCTCTTTCTGGGTGTGGATGTTCATCCAGTTTTCGTCCATCCTTTTATTAAGTAAATGTATAGGTCCTGACTGTCTCCCATAGGACAGGCACTGTGCTCGTAAACACACAATCCCACTGCAGTGTAAAATGTAACAGCTATACAGTATTTCAAGGTGCACTTGGAAACAGAGTAGATGCCAGGCATGGTCCCTACTCTTGTCTCTTTCTACCCTCTCCACTGGAAATCTCATCCTCTTTCACTGTAATACAGATGGTTCAGGGATCAGTAATTTCTGTCCTGACCCCTGGAGGACTGTCCACTGTTTTCAGTCTGTTGTTGGACAGCGTCACCTGATATCCTGTACTCCTACAAGAAGGAAAACAACAGCTGCTAACACCTGAGTGGTTGCAATGAGCCTGGTGCTGTTCTATGTGTTTTTTCGTTTTTTCGCTTAGTCCTCACGAAAACTCCATGAATTAGGTACTAGTATTATTCACCCTTTGCAGATGAGAAACTGAAGAGTTTAAGTTGTTTGAGATTATACAAGTTACTAAGTGGCAGATCAAGGTTATAGACCCCAGACTGACTCGCAAGCTCTTAATCACGTCTATGTTGCCCCCTAAGCTCATCAGACACCAGCTTTTACATAGAACTTAGTTGATTGACTAAATTACTTGATGGCTTTGGAGCCCAGAGGAGGAGGAGCCACCAAAACTGTTAGACATGTGATTCAGCAAGGCTTGCTGTAGCAAGACAGTCAGGGAGCACAACATATCATTAAGAGCTTGGTTTCCAGAATCAGAATTCCTGGGTTCAACGCCACCTCAAACTTTAAAACTATATAGCCCTGGGTTATTTATTTGACTTCTCTAGTCCTCACCTTCCTCAGCTTTCTCACAAAGTGGGACTAATAAAATATCTACCTCATAGGGCACAGTGATAATAAAAAGAGATACTGAATGTAAAACACTTAAAATATTTCCTAGCCCATATGAAGCATTCAATAAATTTGAGCTCTCTTTCTTTTTATTACAATATCCTGAATCATAGAAGATAATAGAAGTGTGTGATGAAAAAAAAATTTGGACTTTAGCATCCAGCCTGTGAAGACTCTCCAAAAATCACCACCACCACCACCCTGCCACCTAACAAAAGCTGCTGAAGTACCAACTCATCATTCCAAAAATTTACAAAGGCAAGCACGCAAACATTTGTTATGTTACTTGCTGGTTATAAGGGAAAAGTCTCTTTACAGAAAAGCTGTAGCTAAAAAGAGGAGTAAAAATTGGAAAATCGCCCTTTAGCAACCCCTAGTGAAAGAACAGATTTAGGTAACAATATTTAATGGATAAAAAACACTAGGTGAAAGGATAATGAACAAGTTTATACAATGGATTAGGATAATAGCTCCTGAACGCACTGACTGATCTTAACATCACGAGAGTGAACCACCTGGTACCATGTTCCTTTAAAAGCAACATTATGGAAATTTACACCAGCATCCATGGAGTCCTTCTGCCAGGAAACTAAACCTGAATCTAAATGAGTCTATGTATCTAAATATCTGATTATTATTTTTACAGGAAATATGGGCAATAAGGGAAATAATTCTAAAATACAAAAAGGATGTAATCAGCCATAATAAAAATATGGGAAATTCTACAGGCAAAGTGACTCAATTTATTCTATAAATAAATGGCATGAAAGATAGATTATTATGAATTAAGAGATTTAAGAGAGAAGTCAACAAAAAAGGCAGTTGTAGACTTTAGATTCTAATTTGGAAAAAAAAACTTTAAAAAGATGTATTTGAAACAATCAGAAAATATTTTAAAAACGCCGCCTCAAATTATCTAATGTTGATGAGTGAGGTAATAGTTTTCTTTCTAAAATGTTATCTTTCCGAGAAGCAAAATGAAGCATTTACAGATTTCCACTTTCAGGAAGACAGAGTAAATGGGGTGAGACCACAAGAAAATGGCTGTGGCCGTGAAAAGGCAACATGAGGGATGCTTGCGGCGATGGAGCTAGTCTATGTCTTGAGTAACCAGTGTCAACGTCCCGGTTGTGATGTTAGACTGTAGCACTGCAAGAAGTTACCAGGAGGGGAAAGGGTGTAAGGGTACGTGGGACCCTTCTGTGTTATTTCTTACAAAGGCATGTGAATCTCAAAACCAAATTTAGTTAAGCAAAAGGAAAATATGGTGTGGCAGGGGACAGACAAAACTATCATAGAGAAAAGTTCACAGTTATAGAAGAATTCATTATTCTCTTTTTCTTCATTTCCTTGAAAATGTCAACAACAAAGTTTTTTTTTTTTTTTTAGTTTAGAAAAGTCAAACTTAGAATTTCCCTGAAAAGTGGTATTGCCTTCTTATTTTCCTGTTCTATCTCCAGTCCTCCAAAGCCCCAAACCACCAGGTCAGCCTACACTCTCCTGAGAGTTGTTTCCTTCTAAAGTACAGTTTTACTCCATCACTCCTTTGTTTAAAAGGACAAAGTTCGCATGGATCAAAAATAACCCCCAGTCAGGCTTGAGCAATCTTGCGCTCATTCCTACACCCCCTACATACACCTTCCTTGGCAGTCACACTAGTCTCCAGTCCCATGACTATCATTTGGGACACAGTATCCTCGCCTGTGCCCGCCTCCTGCGTGCTTTTTCCTTCTCCACTGATCTAAATCCCACCCACCTTTAAAGATGGGAAAAAACCCCACCTCCTTCATGAAACTCTCCCTGATCTTTCCTTAAAATAACTACATGATTCTCCAGAGCCAGGATCATGTATTACATCACAATTAGGAGCCTTCCTGGTACCATCCAGGCTTTTGATGAAAACATACTGATTTAACTGAACGTTCACTATAAAGCACATGGAGAGATCACTGAATTTTAGGGGGAAAACACACACAAAGAAGTAAAACTATTGAAGAGATTCTAAAACATAGCACTAAATTGGAAACCAGTGCACTTCAATCTCTGATGCAGCACTGTAACTGATCACCTTGGACAACGCACTAAGCGTCTGTTGGCATTTGGCTCTAAGATGTAAAGTGAAATGACTACATGCCCCATTTTCTAACGTATAGATACTGTACTTGCCTCTGAAAAACATTTCCTAAGGGCTTCTATGGATTGTAACTTGCAAAGATTACTAGTAAATGTTACTCAACAACTGAAGCAAAACTACATAAAACACATGAAAGAAAAAAGTGTCCCTGATCCACCAGTTTTTACGTAAAACTGAGCTAATGAGAATACACTGCATGATGACTTTGGAGATCATATGAAGTCGGACTGCCAGATCTTTCAAAGCTATTGCATTCAAGAAAACTCCTCAAGGTCCCTGCACCCTAGGGGAGGTGTAATCTCCCCGTAGCATTAAAAGTCTGCTATCCCCTAACCCGGAGATAACTGTCTAAGATGTATAGTACAAAGGTAGAAAGGGTTCTATTGAAAATGAGGACCTTGTGGAAAACCACTGAGGTTTCCCAGAATATTACAGCAGACGCTCTCCAGGACAGAAAGTACAACGAGGCTCGAATACAGAATGAGATTAGGTATTGAGAGGATAAATTTCTACTTTGCCTTAAGAAAAGAGTGTTGCTCTCTAAGCAGGCCTTGTGTATTTGGGAAGGTCATGACCCACAGTCTGCCGTTCAGGTTGGAAGTGGTGGTAATCTCAACCAAACACTGAAGCCTGCACAGTGTGCCCTCACCGCCACTCCCTGGGGGTGCCCAGGCTGGAAGAGAAGAGAGTAGTGTAAGAATCAGCTGTACCCACCACGGGTCCTCAACTTACTCAGGAGAGCGCCCATCAAAGAGAAGAGCATGGACACACGAATTCAGGGGAGGAAGCATGCCTGCGGTGGGTCTCAGATTTCTTTAGGAAGAGGAGGCTGGTTCCCTGAGAGAGCCCCACGCAGTACAGTGATGGGCTAATAGGATGAACTGGGAAGCTAAGCTTGGGACTGTGGGGAGGAGTGAGCAGAGATTGGAGGAACCCAGAGACTCGTCAGGGGGAGAAAAGCAAGAAGCAACGGTTACTTTTTCTCTGCACTGGCCCAGCAGCACCGGGGTCCCGGCAGTTACCTGAGGTTTCTTCACCTTAATGATCCAGGTGGGTGGGACAATGACAGCCGCGTGAGCCCCCAGGGAGCAGGGTTCCTCAATGTGATGCAGCATGAAGCAGGTCACCTTATTGTGAAACTGAAGGGAAAAACAGGCCAATAAACAATTCTGTGCAAAGGGCAAGGCTGCCTCAAGAAGGAATGAGTGCAGGTGCACACACACGTGTGTAACACACACACACACACGCGCGCGCGCGTACACTGAGGTCCCACACTCCTCATCACTGCCCAACCAGCGCCAGGAGCTTAGAGACAAGGTTTCAAATTCATTCCGCTTTACAAACAAATACCAACTGATAAAAAGAACTCAAACTAGGACCAACTGATAAAAAGAACTCAATCTTACAGGATAAGGCCAGCTAAAACTTTATAACCTTTTAATAGGACATTTACATAAACAGTGAGAGACTTGGAGAGTTCTTTGAATGCTAACTTCACACGTAATTTTGTTTCACTTGGCTTGTGCTGGTCGCAGACCTGGCTGGTCTGAGATAATGCTGAGAAGGAAATGAAGACAAGCAGGAAGGCAGTGCCACCTGTCGGCCTCTCCTTTTTCCATCCATAGGCGTTTAAGTCCTTACCAGGTAGCCCTTCCAGGTTAGGGGACCCAGGAAAGAAGGTGTCTCTTCTAGAGAGTTGCTGTTCCCGGAGGGAACAAAGCAATTGCTCCTGCTGGGTTTGGCTAGGGCTACTTAAAAAATAATGGTCTTATCACACTTGGCAAATCTAAAGTGGTTTTTGTTTTTGAAAGGAAGGAAGTGTAGACTAATGACCATAACAGTACTTGAGTTCCAGGGGCTTAAGGCTTGTTCCAATGGACTGAGTAACCTGAGGCCAGTCACATTTTCAGTCGTCTTGTTTGTGGCTATAAAGTGATAATGATGTGTGGTAACATTTGTTTTCTGAAAACATAAAATCTCCATTACACTATCATGGGCTTTAAAATTTTAATCGCAGTGATTGTTTTAAAAAAATTAATATTAGCTTCTACTTGGATTATACTAAATGTGACCACAGAATTTATCATCTTAACTGAAACAATTTTAAGAATGAAAGGGAGCATTGATAATAATTATGTTGGAAAAACAGACATAAATTATGACTGTCTCAGGAAAATTGGCAAATATAGTCACCCCAATTGTATCAGGGCGATTTTATCTTTAAATATCTTCAAGATCTGACATGATTCAGAGGCAAATTACTAAATCAATTAATTAAGCATGAAATACAAATTAATAAGATAACAAATAATTCCCCTACCACCAGTTACTTGCGCTCTGCAAACAATTTGATATACCATAGAAATGTTATTTGAATTTTTCTTTAAAAGGTGATTTTTCTTTTGAGTAATTAAATAAACCCCCAAATCAAGGGCCACTGCATTTCTAAAATGGCAGAGCTCTCCAGGACCACCTATCCCAGCTCTCTCAATTTATACCTGAGTGACACGTAATCTGGAGACTACATGCAAAACTGCACTGGCTTTTTAAGTGGCAAAGTCAGCAATGAATCCATGAAGCCCAGCTCCCAAACCCAGTTTTATTTTCTGCTGCAGAAAGTGCCCCTAGAAGGCATTTGATTGTTTGACATCAAGTATCCTAGAAGGAATGCTCTTTAGTATTAAAATATACCACCACTGTAATCTGTCTTGAAATGTTTTATATTTTCAGCCCTTGAAATATCAACTTCTACAGTGTGGGACACTGGGGAACACAAAGATAGGTGGAATTGACCAAAGCTCAGTCAAGCAGAAGTCGTTTCTGTAGTGACTCAATTGGACTACAGATTAACAAAAATAGAGCACAGGTGTCCACTGCAGAGTGGGGCTGAGTTCCCAAATTAAATGACCCTGGGTCAACCACCTAACCACCACCGCATACCTGCAGGGGCGGGAGCGGATGCAGGCTATCTGAGGCCAGGTTGATGCTATCTTGCAAGTGGCATCTCACCAGATCAGGGAAACAGCAATGTAGACAGTGTTGGGGACCCCTGAACCCTAGAGCTGCTTCTTCCTCTCCAGGTGGATATACTGCCTTGTCGGCATAATTTCATTCAAGGACTAGGACAGCCTTATATTTGTGAACATGTTCTTGAACAGAAGCACAAAGATGATTTGTGTAACAATTAACTGAAAAGAGATGGAAATGCCAAGAATAAAAAATGTGCCAGGAGGGTGACGCAGTAAGCACTGAGCTTTCCAGACCAAGGCACCCCTACCTAGTGACAGCAGATCTTCCTGACACGTGAGGACCTAGGGAACTTACGCTAGAGAGGTTATTAGGGTTGAATCTGATGGACCTGCCAAAAATTCAGAAGTTTTTGACCCACAAAAAGGTGAATTCCATGTGCTTCAACTAAATGCGTCTGCTGCTCCTGCCCCACGATCTTGCTTGGCTAGGTACAACTGATGGGGGCAGAGGCCTGACGTTTCCCTGTGAACCGTCAACCTAGCTGGAACACCACAGCCCTTTCTTGTCAGGCTGGCTGTTCAGTTATACAGTGGTTCAAAAGAACAGGGGAACTGAGAGATTAGAGCAGGGGTCCACAGACATTTTCTATAAAAAGACAGGTAGTAAATATTTCAGTCTTATGGGGCCATGCTGTTTCTGTTTCAACTGCTCAGCTCTGCTGTTGCAGCATGAAAAGTAGCCAGGGACAATACAGCAATGGATGGGCATGGCTGTGCTCCAATAAAAGTTTATTTATAAAAACAGGCAGCAGTCAGATTTGGTCTACAGACCATAGTTTGCCAACTGTGAGTTGGAGTACACATCGTCTGGTTAAAGAAAAAAACAGGTCTGTAGGCAAACAGCAACAAAAATGAGCCACCTGGTTGGGACAGAGGTGTTAAAAAATGATACAAGGACAGATAAGATAGGAAAAGTTAGTAGGGAAATTACCATTGGATCCTTATGAGTATATATTCAAATGAAAGGAAGAGGGACACTTCAGCGAGCATACAGACAACTCTAATAACACCTAAACCTAAAGGATACAAGATGACTCCTATCCTGACACAGCCCCATTAGGAAAAAAAAGTCACCCACATCAAAAACAGAAGAACCAAGACCTGAATTTCTGTGTTAGAGGGATTATTTGTAGTTGCAACTTCCTACCACAGGAGGAGCTGCCATCAATCAAGTGCAGCTTCAGTGTACATAAATGAAGGGGTTAATTTATCTCTACAGTTTCTCCCAGCTCAGTAATGCTTTGTTTCTATAGTTTTATGAGACTGACGCACTGCCTGCTGCACCAAGAGGACAGATCAATTCTATAGTTTTAATCTGTCTTTCTTCCTTCAAGGATCCTATGAGAGAAATGATACATAGGTTAGGATAACATTCCCTGTATAGACAGGAACTCCAGCAAAACCTAAATCTATTTTTGATAAAACGTGAGCCACTTTGTTTCATTTCATCCTCAGACTTACCGCCTGCTTGCACCAGGAACAGCTGATAGCCACAATCTCTTTACTGTGGAAGGAGAATTTCTGCTGGAAGCCCTGGGATATTAGAACAGAGAGACAGAAAATTAAAACCACTTCCATCACAGCATGCATCTGCCCTTCTGAAGTCAAAAGAGTGAGTAAGGCCAGGATTAAGGTAACTGGGACGGCAAATGCTACAGTCGGCACTTAGATTCTCCACCTCTAGCACGCAAGTTTCCTATCCCCAAATCCTCTGGAGTGTGAAACAGGAGGCACCAGTATCTGCTGAACCACTGACCCCTCAAAATCAGCCAGCCACAAAAAGGGTTGCTCTTTTTTCCCCAAATAAATGTGGTTCTGACATGTTTCTACTGTAAGCAAAAGAAAAGCCACTGTTGGTTCTCATGGTTCTTTCCAACAGTGGTCATCCGTCTCAGAGGTCCTATACAACCTTAACATCCGAGAACCTGC